ACAATTAACACCTAGTTAACAAGAGTAATAGTTAAAATAGGAAGCTACCAGACGGTAAGTATTATCAATAACACCCATATATGAGCCAAGACATGAATTACAAAGTTAATTTGAGGGCATATTTTGTGCTTGCCCTGGCACCAACATTGCTCGTTACGGCTCTGCCTGGAAGTGCCATTCTATACAATACTTTCTGGTGGCAGGATCTATTAACTTTATTCACTGTATGTGGGCATGAGAAGGTAGAAAATATACGCCCGCCCCAAAGTTATGGGAAGGATAGATTATGGACCTACCTTCCTATATCTGTCCTGTTAATTGGGAGTGTTAGGATTTGAGGTTCAGCCAAATACTTACTAGCATTACTCCCTAGCGGTGATCTGCAAAGATCCATGAGATACACAAGATGGGAGATACGTGTCCACCAGCAGGTACAACCACCTCTAGTGCTTTCACTGGTAGGACTTGCAGAAACATGGGTCAGTGCCTGGGACAGAGAATGTATACTCTTCTGGACAGTCAGTCAGTGCTGCAATAGCCCTAGATCTCCCCGAGGATGTGGGTGTCTCCCATGTCTCCAGTGGTATATATCTCAGCCTGCTGTTTTAGCCAGAAAAGTATTAGCACGCAAAGTCCTTTACTGCAGAAAATTAAAACAAGAGAAGGTGTTTTCTTTCTGCCTGTTTACATAGCTTGCAACATTCAGGACTCCAGACTTCTCCATCATTATCTAAATTTTTCTTTCTGTCCAAAGTCTTTAGTCAGACTCAGAGTTGCTTATGAAACTCAGAGGTCAGTCGTCAACCATCCTGTTCCTTTGATTTCTTTGCTCTTGTGCTTCTTTCATAGACCCCCGAGTCTCATGTCTTAGAGACATGAAGCTTGCCAAGGAGTCAGTTACACCATCATGCCGACTCGGCTTCTTGCCTCCCCCTGCAGTTCTCCCAGAGACTGGCATTTGTGATGGAGTGAAGATCCATGGTATGTCCCACCACAGGTTCCCCATCTGCCACCGATGAGCTATGGAGGCTCAGATTCCTCTTCGGTACATGGGGGAGATAGCAATGGTGGCCGTCTCATTTACCGGATGTTCTCTCTGGAGCTTCCAAAAACCCTGTAACTGAGTATCAGCACGAAAAACGTCCCATCCCTCCTCTGCTAATGGAATCATTTGTCTCTTCCCTGACATATCGTCCATATGCCCCCAGTTTATTGACTGCAAAGACTTTTCTTTTAAATGGATTAAGGGGCATTAACCACTGAAGTTTCTATTATAGTCGTGGGGGTGGGGGGGAAATGTTATTAACGAGGAAACTAACCTGGTATTCAGAGGATCAAGGAAGGTCCTCAGATCCACTGACCCTTCGTTGTGATCTTATAAACTGGTAAGAGGGGTAGGCAAGAATGAACTTGTTAGCTGAAGAAATCTTGAATGGATAGGCGCTTGAGTGGGCGGTGCAGACTGAAAAGATGTGATTGCATGTCTATAGGCCATCTGTGTGTTTCAAGGGAAATCATGGCTGAGAAATTGTTAGAATGAAAGGAAGATAATAGGACACTGAAATGTCTCTCTTGAAATCAGATTCATGTAAACCAAGTGTTGGGTGTGTTGACCTTGAAGGGAGGGGAAACGCCCACCATACCTTGCATAATCAAGTGTATTTGTTTCCGATGACTGCTATAACAAATCGTGTTAAAAGAAAGCAACTGTGGGGTGCCTGGGTGCCTCAGTCGGTTAAGCGTCTGCCTTCAGCTCAGGTCGTGACCCCGGGGTCCTGGGATCAAGCCCCGTGTGGAGCCTACGTGTAGTGCCCGCCCCCCATCCAGCTCCCTGCTCCCTCTCCCTCTACCCCTTCTCCCCCCGCTGGTGCTTGCTCTCTCTCTCAAATAAATAAAATCTTTAAAAAAAAAGCAAATGTGGGGCGCCTGGGTGGCTCAGTCGTTAAGCGTCTGCCTTCAGCTCAGGTCATGATCTCAGGGTCCTGGGATTGAGCCCCGCATCGGGCTCCCTGCTTGGCGGGGAGCCTGCTTCTCCCTCTCCCTCTACTGTTCCCCCTGCTTGTGCTCTCTCGCTCTCTCTGTCAAATAAATAAATAAAATCTTTAAAAAAAAATAAAAAAAAATAAAAAAAAAATAAAAAAAAGCAAATGTTTTGTAACTACGTGTAGTAATGGATGTTAACTAAACTTATGGTGGTGACCATTTTGTAATGCATACAAATATCAAATAATTATGTTCCACACCTGAAATTAATATGTGATATGTCAGTTATATCTAATTATTCTTAAATTTATCTTACAATTATGGGTGTTAGAGGTCTAAAATATGTCTGCAGGCCTTCGTTCCTTCTGGAAACTCTAGGGGAGAATCTGTTTTCTTGCCTTTTTCAGTTTCTAGAGGTTGTTCACTTTCCTTGGCTTGTGACCCCTTTTCTCTATCTTCAAAGCCAGCATGTAGCATCTTCAGATCCCTCTCTGATCTTCCTGCTTCCCTGTCTTAAAAAGACGCTTGTGATTACATTGCACCTACCTAGATAAATCCGGGAAAAGCTTCTAACCTCAAAATCTTGAAGCACATCTGCAAAATCCCTTCTGCCACGTAAAGTAACGTATTCACAGCTTCCAGGGAGTAGAATGTAGACATCTTTGGGGAGAGGCATTATTCAGCATACCACATCAAGGATGTGAAAATTGTTTTTGTTCTGTGACTTTGGGGTCCAGTTGGCATGCAGGTAGTAAACTGCTTCAGTGATGGTCACTGCTTGTTGTGACTTGGATTTCTCCTTTAATTTTCCTGGATTACATAGAGCTAGGCAAGCATTGATCATATAACCAGGGTCTATCTTCTAGATATTCAGCACCAATTCTTATTTTTATTTTATTTTTAAAAAATATTTTATTAATTTATTTGAGAGAGAGAGAATGAGAGAGAGAGAGAGAGAGCACAGGGGGAGGGGGTGTCAGAGGGAGAAGCAGACTCCCCGCTGAGCAGGAAGCTGATGTGGCACTCGATCCTGGGACTCCAGGATCATGACCTGAACTGAAGGCAGTCGCTTAACCAACTGAGCCACCCAGGTGCCCTGACACCGATTCTTATTTTTAATCTAACAACAGCAAAGAGGTGTTCAATGTCAAGCCAGAAAATATTAGGACTTGAAGGGATCTGAGAGATTATGTGACCAATCCTCTTCATTTTATATGTAAGGAGAATGAGGTGTGGAGACACCAAGTTGACTTGCCAAGGTCAACAGCAGCACCCACTTCCTTATTCTCTGGTCATTATATCACTGGGATTTCAAATTAAGTTTGGGAAGCCTATAGACTTAGTCACTGATTGTCTGATCTTGTCATGTTTCCTCGTGATATTGGGTAAATAATGTATGTTTAAAAAACAGGAGAATTGAAAGTATCTCCATGAAATTCATTGATCTGTTTAGCAATGTGGCTAATGCATAAAGTGACAGAATAGTGGCAAATAGATTTAAATCTTAGGATGAAGAAACTTTCTCCTTAGTAAGTTCATAAATATGGTCTAAGAAATATAGCTGAGGGGCGCCTGGGTGGCTCAGTTGGTTAAGCAACTGCCTTTGGCTCAGGTCATGATCCTGGAGTCTCAGGATCGAGTCCCGCATCGGGCTCCCTGCTCAGCCGGGAGTCTGCTTCTTCCTCTGACCCTCCCACCTCTCATGTGCTCTCTCTCTCTCAAATAAATAAATAAAATCTTAAAAAAAAAAAGAAATATAGCTGAAATGAGTGTGGAGGGAAATGTTTTGTTTCCTTGGGCTTTTTTTTTTTTTCTTTAAGTGCTTGTTTTTCTTCAAAGTTTATAGAAAAAAACCATTTATTGAGGGCCCACTGTATATGAGATGTTGTTTTAGGTGCTGAGAAAAAGACAATAAAGGAAGATTTTGTTGAGATTTATTATTTACCGTTTGGATTTCTCAAACTCCTGAAAACACAGAGAAAAACAACTTTAAAATTTGAAACACAATAATCTGGCAGTTGCATAAGGAGGACACTGAATGAGAATAATTGAACATGCAGGTCAAAGTACACTCAGAACCCTCTAAAATTCCTTGTGGATGCAAACCTGTTCCCCTGCTTAAAGTGAATTGTTTCATCTGCCAAAGTTAGGTGAGCCAAAGCACTTAGGTATGATTAAGGTATGGAAATCCAGAATTTGGACAAATCCTAATGCAGATGGGAGACAGAAGTGCCAACCCTCGCACTTGCCTGAGCTCTTTGCCTTTTGGGTTCATAGTTCCTTTTTTTTTAAGATTTTATTTATTTATTTATTTGACAGAGAGAGACACAGCGAGAGAGGGAACACAAGCAGGGGGAGTGGGAGAGGGAGAAGCAGGCTTCCCGCTGAGCAGGGAGCCCGAGGCGGGGCTCGATCCCAGGACCCTGGGATCATGACCTGAGCCGAAGGCAGACGCTTAATGACTGAGCCACCCAGGCGCCCCCATAGTTCTCACAGGCCTGGTTTGCTTATTTGTGGCTTAGTTTTCCTATGGTATTTGTTAAATCACTTTCTCCTATGCTATAAATTGCCCCCCAAAGAGCAAGGCAGTTTGCTTTGGAAACCAAATGAACACTTTCATGTCTCTTAGCATCTTATGATACAATTCATTTGTAACCGTATTTTGGAATGTGGCAATCTTTAAGAAAACTAGTAAACTAGAGACAATGCATAATTTGACTCAGGGAATTACATTTTTACTTCTTGGTAGCTTTGAAATCACCAGAAGGGGAATTAAGCAGAAAGAGGAGAGGAGAGACATGGTGTTGAAAAGGATGTTTCTGGGAGGAGTTTGGGGTGGTAGGGAAGAAGTGAGGCCCCTTGAAAACCAGAGTTGGTTTCAGACCACAACTCGCATGACCTGCAAAGATCTGAGGTGTTCGCAGAGGGCCCCTTAGTGGTAGCCTGTTGTCTTGTGATGACCAGGTCAGACTTGGAGATTGTTGGCCCGTCAGGCAACTTGGAAATGGGCCACTGGCTCAGAAATTGCACAGGGTGCGATGGCAGCAGTAAGTAACACGCATTCCAGAAGACGTTGTCTTTTTCTTGAAGCAGTCATCATGGGTCTCTGTGCAGCCCAAAATGGAATACCACTGAATTCCACCTGAAGGAAACAAAAGAGGTAGGGGTTGGGGTGCCTGGCTGGCTCAGTCAATAGAGCATGTGACTCTCTCTCGGGGTCGTGAGTTCAAGCCCCACACCAGGCATAGACCTCAGTCAAAAAAAAAAAAAAAAAGAAGAAGAAGAAGAAGAAGAAGAAGAAGTAGGGTGCGAGGTCCAGCCTACCTGGCTTCAGATGCTTCAAGTAACTAACAGGTTAAAAAAAAAGGCAAAGCAAAAAATCCTAGGTTTATCAGGATACATTTTGCCCTTAAGAACTCCCACCTAAGTGTATTCTAGATGGGTACGCTGCAGTAAAAGCTTTGAAATTTCAAAACAAAATAGCTTTCAAACTTAGATGATAAAAGCCAGGCAGTTGCTACTGACTGTGTGAGACTTTCTGAAGCATTAGCTGTTGGGAAGTTCTCATTCTCATTCCCCAGCATAACCCAGGTCATGAGTTACTCAGAGGGCTGAAGCTACAGAAGGGATCATTTAGATGTGTAAGTGCTTCTCAGAAATGGACGAGGGTCCTTGACCTCAGTTAATTTTCCCCCTGATTACAGAAGGAATGCATGCTCACTGCAGAAAATATGAAAAATACACACACGTGCAAAATAAGTGACAGTACCGTCCTCTAATCCTAGCATCCCCAGCTTCACTGGTCTGGAGGGAGAACACAGAGGAACAGTTCCCCAAAGGCAGCAAAACATATGATGGTTGGAAACTTGGGAGAACAGTAGTCCCTCAACTGGGGGGCAGTTTTGCCTCCCACCCCCAGGATGTTAGATAACAGCCAGAAACATTTTTGTTGTTACAACTTGGAAGATACTACAGGTATGTAGTGAGTAGAGGCCAGCGATGTGCTAAACATCCTACAATACATAAACCAGCCCTGCATAACAAAAAATTAGCCTGCTAAAGTGTCAGTAGCATCAAAGATGAGAAACCCTATTCATAAAGCCATCAAAAGTGTTAAGTTCCATTTCTATTTGTTTCACCACAAAATTTCCAAGTTAGGAAATAGCTCTGCCCACAGCCCTGCAGTCAAACCAGGTCCTTGATGCACCAAGAACTATGGTCAGTATTCTGACACATCAGCTCCCAGACTCTTCCTCCTGTGCAGAGTCCCTTGGTACTTAGTCCCTTGATAACAATCTGTCCGTGTTTAGGAAGAGAAGAGCAATCACTCTGAACCAGCATCTCATGGCTCCAGGGGGCCTTGACCCCTTTCCCTTTCCACAAGGAAGGGGCTCTGACTGGCAGAGGTGTGAGCCCGAGGGAACGTGGGGCGTAGAGAGAGGACTCAGGCTAGACAGGCTGAAAAACCTCAAATAACCCTCTTAATATCAAAACCCATCCCATAGGACCCTCAAGTTCTCTTCTTCTCTCCCAACTAACTTTGATCTGCTCTAACTTTTGTTCTCTCCTTCCAATTCCATAGAGGAATTTAGAGTTTTGCTTCATGGAGGTTTTTATTCATAATTGGTATGCCCATTGGTACTGTTTGGCAACTGACTTTTCTTCTGCTCAACAATATTTTAGAGATTTTTTCCCAATGTTAACAAAGGGATCTAGTTGCATAGCATTCCATGGCCTGAATATACATCATAGTTTAAGTAACAACTCTCCTGTAGACGATCATTTAGGTCATTTCCATTACTTTATTATTAAATATAATACTCCAGGGATAACTTTGAGAACGTGCTTTTTTGTGTCACGTGTAAAGTATTTCTCTGCAGTAGACACTGAGAAATCGAATTGCTTTGTAGGAGGCTGTGTTCATTTAAAAGTTTAATGGAAATTCCCAAATTGTCCAAAAAAATGCTGAACTAGGGGCACCCGGGTGGTTTAAGCAGTTGAGCGTCTGACTCTTGGTTTCAACTCAGGTCACGATCTCAGGGTCATAAGATGGAGCCCCGCTTTAAGCTCTGTGCTCAGCAGAGAGTCTGCTTGAGGATTCTCTTTCTCCCTCTCCTTCTGTCCCTTTCCTTGCTGATGTGTGCGTGCTCTCTCACAAATAAATAAATAAATCTTTAAAAGAAATGCTAAACTAATCTAAATTGTCACTGGAAATGTATGAGAGTTCTCATTTCCCCATACTGTCACTAACCCATGACATAATAAAGCTTTCATAATTTTTATCATCTGATGGGTCAAAAAAATATATTATTTCTGTAATTTTGCATTTCTTTGATATTTACTGATGGGTTGAGCAGCTATTTATATTTTTATATTTTTAGGTCATGTTTATATTTCTTCTTCTGAAAACTGTCCCTACATTTCCTTTAGCAAACTTTTTTGTTCCCCCCGCCCTGATTGTTGGGTCTTTTTAAAAACTGTTTTTGGAAGTTCTTTACTCTGGATAGGTATTATATATTTTCTTCTGTTATTTATATTTCAACTATTTTCATCCAGTTTATTCTTTATCTTTTAAATTTTGGGGTTGTCATTCATTTTATAAATTTTAAAATATTGAAGTATTCAAATTTATGTGTCATATCCTTTACAACCTCTGTCTTTTGGATGTTCAAGAGGCCTCCTCTCTTTCAAACTTCAGGTATCTTCTTCAGCATTTTCTTTTAAGGTTTTCATCATTCGGATATTTGCTTTTACTCTTTAACCCATGCAGGCAAGGCTGGCTTCCTGGGCATGGTGTCCATGAGGCAGTACATACATTCACTAGGAGCCTACACTCTGGAATCAAAGTTCGTGCATTTGAATACTGGCTCCAACACTTACCCACTGTGTAACATCATGCACATTTCTTAATCTCCCTATGCCTCAGATTTCTCATCTTTAAAATGGGGATAGTGACAAGATCCTTGGGGCGCCTGGGTGGCTCAGTCAGTTGGGCATCTGACTCCTGGTTTTGGCTCAGGTCATGATCTCAGGGTCATGGGATTGAGCCCCATCTCAGGCTCCATGCTCGGCAGGGAGTCTGCTTGTCCCTCTCCCTCTGCTCCTCCCCACTCATGCTCTCTCTTTCTCTCAAATAAATAAATAAATAAATAAATAAATAAATAAATAAATAAAATCTTAAAAAAAATAAAATGGTGATAGTGACAAGATCCAGCTCATATCATTATTTTGTTGGCATAATGTAACCCAGGTAAAGCCCTTAGTATGACATTTGGCATGTAGTAAATGTTCAGTGAATGTTTGCTTTTATGTAGGGATTTTTCCTATACTGATTTTCAATAATTTTTTTTGTAAGTGTCAAGACTTACCTCTTAGGTGAGTCTGTTTCATGCAATACTGACCAGGTTTTGTTCTGCAGGTTCCCAAATCCAAAAGACATCCATGGAAGGGCATTGAGAGGTTGCATAATCTGCAAGTCATACCTCTAACATCTCCAAAGTATAGGAGAAAAAAAAAATAAGGGGAAAATAGAAGTGAGACCAGCAAGCAAGAGAGAGAGAAAAAATAGTGATAATAGTGATTTTCAACTTAAAAAGGTAAGCAATATTTAAAAAATTAATTCTAAAAACTCATATAAATTAAAATTATTTTTATTTTGAAAATGGGGGCAATGTCAAAGCATATGCTACATTCATGAACTGGAAGCCCCCAGAACAGATACTAATTAGATATGAAGCCAGGTGGTCTAAACAATTTAGCTGGTAAAAACTTACTGAGTTCCTCAGTGCCTCATTAAATCAAACCAGTTATTTAGGCAGAAAATTTAATTTCATCCATTCACTATTAGGCCATCACTTCAATGTCTAAGACAGTACATTATATATAGTAGGTTCTCGGGGTGCCTGGGTGGCTCAGTCATTAAGCGTCTGCCTTCGGCTCAGGTCATGATCCCAGGGTCCTGGGATCGAGTCCCGCATCGGGCTCCCTGCTCAGCGGGAGGCCTGCTTCTCCCTCTCCCACTCCCCCTGCTTGTGTTCCATCTCTCGCTGTGTCTCTCTCTGTCAAATAAATAAATAAAATCTTAAAAAAAATATATATAGTAGTTCTCTGTGACTATTTATTGCCTGATTAATGTTTACATATTGGTTATCTTCAGCACTTAAATTTAATGCTTAAAATGTTATTCATTTTGGTTACATAGAAATAGCCCGACATTCTTGAACTTAGTCAACATAGGTAAGATTGGAAGCCATTATCTAGAAGATTGGTTTCCAAATTTGACCATGCATCCCATTTATATAAACAGTTAAAATAAAATAAACACAGATTCCCAGAGGCTCTACAGACCTGAGTTAGAATCTGTAGGAGGTGGGGCTCGGAAATGTGTATTTCAGATATGCAGAAACAGCTGAGGGCGTGTGATCTGGACCAGTGTTTGAGAACCACTAGTTCCCCTGAATTCAGAAATTTCCTTTATACCAACTTCTGCAGGGAGCCTTGACTAGTGACTCGTCCCCATTAAAAACACCTCAGATTGTTCAAAGATTCTTCTGAAACTTAGACCAAATCTGTCTCATTGTTCATAGTTCCCATCTTTTAACATAAGAAGACCATTGCCGTGTTGCTGCTATTCATTGACAACCCAAAAGAAGAGTTTACTAGACATTTTGCACATTGTATTTTCCATCTCCGTCTGCCATATTCAGGGTTAGAAAATATCACTTTTAAGAGAAAATAGTCTGGCTGATGAGGCTGATAATGGCTGATAATTAACCTCTGTTGACTGTTCTCTACAAGTCCAACCTCCTCTCAAGATACTTTGGAAATTTCCCGTTGGTTCTCTCTCTGAGCATGCCAGACTTTCAATCCATAATCAACAATCCATCAACAAATACTTGTTTTTAAGAACTAAGCTTATGCCAAGGACTCTGCTCGGCAATTGACACGCATTAGCTCAGTCATTTCTCACAGGAAACCTCTGGGCAGGTATTATCATTGCTCACATTTCACATAAAAGAAAACTAAGCCTCAAGATTTTAAGTAGCTTGTGCGAGTCGCAGAGACAGGAGTTTAAAAAGGTCTATTGCAATCTAAGGCCCTTGTTCTAAGCAAGCACACCGTGTCCTAGAGCTGCCTACCTTTTTTGTATCCCAAACCTCCTGATCTTGTCCTTTTCTTTCTGGATATTTTGATTCTTACTAGATTCTGGGTCCATTGCCTGCCCAGAATACTGGGGCTGCTTAGTTCTTTAAGATGTGTCCAAGATAGTTTTCCTCCTGCACTTATGGCTTCTCAATCTCACCACTTGCCCTTAGAGATCCACTGCATGGTTTGGACTTTCGGTGCCAGTGGTCCCTCCAAGGTGGAGAGCTCGGAGGAGGCTAGCTCTTTCTCTGCCTTGCCTGAGGCCCATGTACTGTTTTCCTGGGGGAGATCTGCTCTAGCTTCTTTCCCTCCGTCTCAGAGGGCCCTTCCTCCTCCTGATCCCACACCTAGTATCCATAACCTTCTTCCTAAAACCTTGGCTCTGGCATTCTTTATGGCTGAAGATGATACCTTAATTTTTAGGCTTTTTTGTTGTCTATATCTGTTCAATTGCCTAAGTATTTATAAATATTTCTCAGATCCCGTTTCCTTTCTTCCAGTGTCTTTTTATCTGAAAACTGATTGTTGGTTTTATTAACATTAATATAACATGATATATTCCAATTTGACAACTAAATTTAAAGCTTCGGGTGTTAAGTAAAATGAATAGTTTCTTTACATGATTAATTCTGAACTATACTATTCTATGACTTTATTTATTAACAGGAAACATCCAAAAGATTTTTTTATATATAATTATTTAAAGGTATATTGTAGATCATATCTAGTTATTTAAATATATATTATAAAATCATGATGATGGTGAGCTTTTAGTTTTTATTTGATTTTATTTTTTAAAAGATTTTATTTATTTATTTTAGAGAGAGAGAGAGAGCACGAGTGTGAGGGGCAGAAGGAGACGGAGAGAGAGAGAATATGAAGCAGACTCCATAGTGACCGCGGATCATGGCACTGGGCTCAATCCCAGGACCCTGGGATCATGACCTGAGCTGAAACCGAGAGTCAGACACTCAACCGACTAAGCCACCCAGGCACCCCAGATGGTGAGCTTTTTAAATAACCACTCCTTACTTCAAGGTTTCTCTTTATGCTGAACTTTCTTCTTTTACCCTCACATCTTCCCTGTGTATCTGGCAAAATTAATGCAGTCCCCTTCCTGACTCATTTTTTCATGATACTCAAGACCCTGAAGATGTTCTTGTGTGATTTTCTACCTATTCATATGCTCCTCTCTACAGTTTTTTCCAGGAGGCTGGTAGAAAGATGTACAATGCAGCCGAGACCTAAGCTTTGCTGTGTGAGTGTCCCAGTGCCCTCCCTGTTGTGTGCTGTACTTAGTGATGAGGGGGGTGTGGGAGCCAAAGGCCACAAACTGGCGGTCCAGGGGCCAGACTGGTTTGTTTAACATGCACAGAGCTTTCAAAAATCAGTTGTGAATATTAAAAAATGGGGAGAGTTTTCCTACAAACCTGAGTTCTGGTTTCTCTTGAAGAATCAGAAGGTTTGGTGATTGCTGGGCTCTCCTTCCGCTATGACAGCAAACTGTGTAGCTGGGCACTGGCTTTCCCCACTCTTGTTTCATTGTTTGCTAGCTTCCCCCAGTGATATGAGCTGACCAGATGCTTGAGGCATTTCAGTTAGTGACCCCAGTCTTTGCTGCTCGTGGTCTCCAAGTCTCAATATTAGAATTTTATTTATCTCTGGGATGCATTCTAGATTCTTCCCAATGAAATGTGGTGTCCAGACCAACACATCTTCCATCACTTGGAAGCTTGTTGGACACACAAACTCGGGCCCCACACCGACCTGTTGAATCAGGTTCTGCATTTTAGCAAGATTCCCAGGTGACTCATTTGTTCATTAAATGTTGTGACTCTAAGAAAATCCTGGGTTCAGCATAGAGTAACTCTCTTCATTATCATCTTACCACTTCACTGAGAGGGAGAATTCCCATAATGGTGCTTGAACATGCCTGTTTGGAGGTATTACCTTCATGCATATCTACCTAGTATGAAGGGCCTTAGGAATCCTATAAAAGGAATTGAAAGTGCCCTATTATCTCCTTTATTGGTTCTTTTATAAATGAAGGAATGCTGGAGATGATGGAGAAGAGCACATTTAACAGGAAAAGTGCTAGAAGGCCTGTGTCTATGCTTATTTGGTTTAATTAATTTGTTTTCTTTGCCATTATTTTTTTAAGATTTTACTTGAGAGAGAGAGAGAGCGAGAGAGAGTTTGGGAGGAGCAGAGGGAGAGGGACAAGCAGACTCTGTGCTGCTGAGCAGGGGGCCCAACATGGGGCTCAGTCTCACAGCCCTGAGATCATGACTTGAGCCCAAATCAAGAATGGATGCTTAACCACCTGAGCCACCCAAGTGCCCCTCTTTGCCTATCTATAAGAGCTTCCAGACTCATTTGGTTAGCTCCAGCTTAGTTATAACAATAGCAACAAGTGGGCTATCTAGAAGCTCCGTTTTCTCATCTATAAAATGGGAAATAACAGGATTTAACTCATAGGGTTGTCATGAGGGTTCAATGAATTAAAGCAAATGTAATGTTTAGACCGGTTCCTGGCATATAGTATATGCTCAGTAAGTGTTAGGTTGCACTACTTGTTTAAAAGTGCTTCCTTAGGCCTTGCTATATACACCTTAATTACCTTATTTAAGGTCCTCCTCCACTGATATTGTAATTCTGCAATCTTTTAGATAATTTTCCCTCTTTTTGATTTATGTTTTCTTTCTTAAAGATTTTGTTTATTTGACAGAGAGAGAGAGCACAAGCAGGGGGAGTGGCAGGCAGAGGGAGAGGGAGAAGCAGGCTCCCCGCTGAGCAGGGAGCCCGACGTGGGGCTCAATCCCAGGACCCTGGGATCATGACCTGAGCCGAAGGCAGTTGTTGCTTAACCAACTGAGCCACCCGGGCGCCCCTAATTTATGTTTTCTTAATGACTTACCACTGAAGAGGCAGAGTAACATAAAAACACCACTGAAGACAGTCCTTCTCATTCTTCTATTTCTAGCCAAAAAAGGAAAATGGAAGGAAAGAAACATCCCACCATTAAATCTTTCCTGGGGAGGAAGTAATGAAGTTACACATTTATGTTAGCTATTACAAAGAGGGAAATAACTGGCTAAGTTTCTTTTACTTCATTAAGAAAGTATAAATAAACTTAGTTTGTGAAAGAGGGGAAAAAAAAATACCTGTCTTTATTAAAAATTCACCATAAAAGTTCTCCTAGCTCTAGAGTATTTTAAGTTTAGCTGTCTTTTTATTACCAAATACCATTCCCTCCCTTACTTTCTTTCCTGGAGTATAATTGTTTAAAACAAAACAAAAAAAATGAAATGAGATAGATTATGTTTCTAGAATAATATCCTGTTAAAATCCTTTTAACTATTAGCCTAAAGGGAAATATTTATGTATGCTTTCTCATAAACTAATGCTTTTGTTGCAAATGATCACATTTATAAGGTAAAGCATTATATGAAAGTTAACAATAGTTAATACTTATTAAAATTAAGGGCAAGAAATAGTCAGATTGGCTAAAATTTAGTTATTTATGACCTACCTCCTAGGTCTGAATTTCTTTAAAGGTTAACAACAAATAAAATTTCTGATGTAATGAAGTCTGTTGTAACTGAAACCAACAAGGCAAGTTCCTAATCCACTAGATTCCAAACGGTTTAAACAGTAAAAATTGTCCAAGTAGACAAGATTTTTTCACTTGTGTACTCTGATGTGTATGGAACTTAACATGAGCCAGCACTTAAACTCATTAACTGTAAATTTGGCTAAAGATTTCTATGTTTACTATACTACATATGAGTTAGTTTAGATATACCTAGCCATGTAGGTATGTAGCTCTTCATTATATAAATTAGTTGGTTTTGATAAAAAAAAAATACCATATAATCTTTATAGCCATCTGAGCCACCCAGGCGCCCTATTTTTGTTTTTTTATGACAAACAATGTTACAGTGTGTATATATGTCCTTGGATATATATATGCAAGTTGTTTCTCTAAGACAGATCCTGAAAAATGGAATTGGTTGTCATAGAGTATCTTCAGGTAACATTTTAATAGATACTTTCAAATTGCCCCTGAAAGTAACTATCAATTTTCCTACCACCAGCAGAGTATTAGTACTTTTCCTGTCATATCCTCATTAATTCTGAATCAAAGATTTGCAAAATACTTACTACTATCTAAAAATCTAAATTAAGGGGCCCCTGGGTGGCTCAGTCGTTAAGCGTCTGCCTTCGGCTCGGGTCATGATCCCGGGGTCCTGGGATCAAGCCCCGCATCGGGCTCCCTGCTCCGCGGGAAGCCTGCTTCTCCCTCTCCCACTCCCCCTGCTTGTGTTCCCTCTCTCGCTGTGTCTCTCTCTGTCAAATAAATAAATAAAATCTTTAAAAAAATAAAAAAATAAAAAAAGTAATACCGGGGGTACCTGGATGGTTAAATCAGTTAAACGTCTGCCTTCGGCTCAGGTCATGATCCCAGGGTCCTGGGATCAAGCCCCGCATCGGGCTCCCTGCTCAGCGGGAAGCCTGCTTCTCCCTCTCCCACTCCCCCTGCTTGTGTTCCCTCTCTCACTGTGTCTCTCTCTGTCAAATAAATAAATAAAATCTTTAAAAAAATAAAAAAATAAAAAAAGTAATACCGGGGGTACCTGGATGGTTAAATCAGTTAAACGTCTGCCTTCGGCTCAGGTCATGATCCCGGGGTCCTGGGATCAAGCCCCGCATCGGGCTCCCTGCTCCGCGGGAAGCCTGCTTCTCCCTCTCCCACTCCCCCCCCCTGCTTGTGCTCTAGCTCACTCTCACTCGCCCACGCTCACTCTCTCTAACAAATAAATAAAAAAATAAAAAAAGTAATACCGGGGGTACCTGGATGGTTAAATCAGTTAAGCGTCTGCCTTCGGCTCAGGTCATGATCCCGGGGTCCTGGGATCAAGCCCCGCATCGGGCTCCCTGCTCCGCGGGAAGCCTGCTTCTCCCTCTCCCACTCCCCCTGCTTGTGTTCCCTCTCTCACTGTGTCTCTCTCTGTCAAATAAATAAATAAAATCTTTAAAAAAATAAAAAAATAAAAAAAGTAATACCGG